ATTTCCGACGGCTAATGAAATGCATAGTTGGCGAAGCGATTCCAGTAGCAAACTTAATCCGCAAGAAATATTACCAGAAGTTCTAGCCAAGGACGAAATTTAATAAAACCAAGTTCTGAGGTAAGCTTATTTTTTGGCCCAAAGAAGCAATCTCCTACATGAAGATACAACTATCAATATACACACTGGATCAGATGAACTGACACATTAGATCCCACAGCGATAGCGCACTAACCTAATCTACAAATGATGAAGGCTTACACAGACGATGTGATCCCCCTTTCTTCCAGAACCGATTGTATCATCCACACTTCAAACTGGTGGCAGCAAAAACGAAACACAAGCCTCCAGCACGCGGCACGCACTAAGAAGGGGTCGGATTGCTTACCGCATCCGGGCCGAGCGCCGCCATCTGGGGTGCTTGGTAGTAAGGCACCCCCGCGGCCTGCGCCTGCAACCTCGTCTGCACCGGGAGACGAAAACCACGACCTATTAGCCACCACGAATCACACGAAAAGGATACCCCCGGATAATGGACAAACTGGGAGAGCCCGTACCTTGGCGACGTCGAGAGGGTTAACGATGATGGCGGAGATGAAGGCGGCGCTTGCGGCGGAGAGGGCACGCTCGGCCATCCCGAGCTCCTGGTCGGCCACCACCGCGGCCGGAGGCCCAGGTTGGGGAGGCTGTGAGCCGGACGTGGCGGCGGCGCCGCCGGAGAGGTCGATGCGCGCCGCGGCGGCGGTCATCCAGGCGGGGAAGCCGCCCCTAGAGCCGCCCGCCATAGCTCCCAGCAGCGCAGCCGAATCAATACGGCGGCGGAGGGCGGGGTCTAGGTCACGCGGGCCGTGCGGCGGTGGTGCTCCCTCTCTCTGTGACACGAGTCGAGGCTCACGAAGAGAGGAGGGGAGACGGGGAGGGATCGGTGTTTTCGTTCTAGAGGAGTCCTTTTGGTTGACTGTAACAAAGAGATAAAATAGCCGAGACCACATTTAGGTTATTTTGGAAAATAAGAAAAAAAAAACGCCTATGACACATGTTGTATGCTGGTGCTCAATTTGTTTTTCAAATTCAATAAAGCTAACGACCAGTCGACTGATGGTTTGCGTCAGATCCGCACAATCGCGTTGCCGTTTGATTCTAATCCGACGAAGCGTGTAGTCCGTTCCGAGCGAAGCGCGCGTGGCGATAGTCGTTACAGGTTTTATGACAGATGACAAGCGGGCCTCGCCGGAACCGTCCCTCTCGCCCAATGTCCACATTCTCCACTCCCCCGTCTTCCCCTTCGCACGCATTACTTCTTCCCCCCTCTCGCGCTGCTCTGTCCATTCGATTCTACTCTCTCTCTCTCCATTCTCCCTCGTCCGCGATGGTTGCTGGTGGTGGTGTGGTCCTGTTCGCGGCGGACGGCGTCCGAATCTGCGGTGAGGAATGCATTTTCCCACCCCCTTTGTCTTCCTGTTTTGCTCCGCCAGTGTGTTCCCGCCGTTCCGCCGTCGATTTTTGGTGTACGGAGCCTTCGAATCCAACCGGTTTTTGTTCCCATTAGGTTGGATTAGGTTAGTTTAGGTGGGCTTCTAGATTCTGAATCGGCATTGAGGAGCGCATTCCCCACCCCCTCTCTTTTGTTGTTTCTCCGCCGGCATGTTCCGCTGTTGATTTTTGGTGCTCGGACCATCCTAATCCGATCGGTTGTTGTTCCAATTAGGTTAGATTAGGTCGCTTACTAGTTCCAGTTGTAGATGGTTGTGAATTTTGGTTCAATTTTGTGCGTAATCGGTCGGCTAGTTGGTGTCGATAGGTTTTCGTGGTGTATAAGCGTGGTCAGTTCTACTATGGATTTTCCCACCCGCTTTTTTCCTTCTGTTAGTGTTATGGATGTTGATTTTTAGGACATCCAATAGTGTTTGTTGTTTATGGATTTTAGGATGTCCAATTTAGTGGATGTTGATTTGATCAGTAACCCTAAGTTCATTTCCAAAATGTTGTTGTCGGTGTCAAAACCGGCGGATCTCGGGTAGGGGGTCCCGAACTGTGCGTCTAGGCGGATGGTAACAGGAGACAAGGGACACGATGTTTTTACCCAGGTTCGGGCCCTCTCGATGGAGGTAAAACCCTACTCCTGCTTGATTAATATTGATGATATGGGTAGTACAAGAGTAGATCTACCACGAGATCGGAGTGGCTAAACCCTAAAATCTAGCCTATGGTATGATTGTTGTTCGTCCTATGGACTAAAACTCTCCGGTTTATATAGACACCGGAGAGGGCTAGAGTTACACAGAGTCGGTTACAATGGGAGGAGATCTTCATATCGTATCGCCAAGCTTGCCTTCCACGCCAAGGAAAGTCCCATCCGGACACGGGACGGAGTCTTCAATCTTGTATCTTCGTAGTCCGGGAGTCCGGCCAAAGGTCTTAGTCCGGCCATCCGGACACCCCCTAATCCAGGACTCCCTCAGTAGCCCTTGAACCAGGCTTCAATGACGACGAGTCCAGCGCGCAAGTTGTCTTCGGCATTGCAAGGCGGGTTCCTCCTCCGAATATTTCATAGAAGATGTTGAGCACCAGGGTAGTGTCCGGCTCTGCAAAATAAGTTCCACATTCCTTCGTAGAGAGAATAATATTTGTATTAATCGGATCTGCTGACGTATTCCGTGGCGCGACATCATGCCACAGCCAGGCTCTTTATTTATTTTATTTTTCCACCTTAGCGCGCTTAGCGAGGCGGTTTCCTTGGCACGTCTTGTCAAAGCAGAGATCATGTCCCCTTATTTCGGGATTCTCATCAATACGGGTGTGGGTAACCCAACCGCGCCATTAACCGTGGCGCTTGGGGGATAAGCGAGTTTTATTAGGCCGGTGGGGGCTCGTAGTTTTGGCCGCCCATATAAGGGGATAAGAATCCGCCCTTTCCATTCACGCCCTCTTCCTCCTCTGCTAATCCGTCCCTGCGCGCTCGAGCTCCAGCGCCCAAGCCCGCACTTCCCACCTCAACCTTCTCCAACCATGTCAGGAGCGGGAGGTAGATGGATGGCCTCCTCCGTCATGGAGGGACAAATCAAAAATCTGAGGAAGGCCGGATACTTGTCTAACGACATCGCGCACCGGCTCCCAGATGCGGGGCAACTCATCCCCACCCCCAGGCCCCATGAGAGGGTTGTTTTTCTTCCCCATTTCCTCCGTGGACTGGGTTTTCCTCTTCACCCGTTCGTCCAGGGGCTCATAGTTTGGTGTTCGGAAAGAAAAGCCAAACTGAGTATCTTAAAAGATATACGCAGGAGTCTAATAGAAATATGTCAATATGGGAATGCAGGCTGCGCTGCTGACCTCTGCCGCACTAACTGCGGAGGTCAATGCCTTGAAGGAAAGCCTCGAGCGGTCCGAGAGCGAGCTCGGCCGTGCCAAGAAGCAGCTTGACGATAAAGAGGGTACGTAGTACCTCCTGTAAATGTATATAGAAATACTTGGTTGCATAATAATAATAACAGGACCAACGTTAATGTTGCAGGAGCCACGACCGAGGTGGCGACCCTGAAAGAGGCGGTCTCCAAGGCCGAAAAGAGTGCGGCCTTGGAGCACGCCGAGCGAGAGAAGCAGGAGGCGCGGGTGGCGGAGGTGCGGCAAGAGCTCCAGGCTCTTGTGGAAAAACACGAGAGTTTGGAGCGTGACTCGAAGACTCGAGAGTCCGAGCTTGCCTTGGCTCTTGAGAGTGCCAAGACCGCTAAGGCCGAAGCCCAGAAGGCCCTTCAGGAGATCGAGGCGATGAAGAAGATAGTGGCGGGTAAGGCATTATTTATGCAAAGCAAAAATATAAAAGTTAATTATCTCCTACTTACCTGAATCCGGAGCTCTCCAGGAGCGTTCGCCGATCTGCCCCGTAGTGTGTCTGATGCCGCCGCATACTACTGAGCCGAAGAGGGGAGCTCGACGGAAAAAGTGTTCTGGTCTCAGTATGCTGAGGCCGAACATCCGATGCCCCTGAGCGACCAGCTGAAGTAGCTGGTTGAGCTCCACAAGGTGGCCGAACAGGCCATGAAGGGCCTCATAGCTCGGCTGTGGCCTGGAGAAGTCATGCCTGGGAGCTACTTCGGTCTGGTGCGGTGGATGGTGGACGCGTGTCCGTGGATTGAGGTCGTCAAGCGCTTTGTTTGTATTGAAGGTGCCCGTCGGGCCCTTGCTCGTGCTAAAGTGCACTAGGGCAAGCTAGACGCGGAGAGGCTGTTGACGGACGCGCCACCGCCGGGCAAGGAGTATTGTACGCCTGAGATGTATTATAATGGCATTCTGAAGGGTGCCCGCCGCATAGCGGATGAGTGCTCCAAAGATGTAATTTTTGAGTAAACTCGAATTTGTTATCCTGTACGCTGAAGCTTTGTTCATATGCGTTAAGCAACGCTTGTTAATTTAAAATATTACCTTCTGTGCGGCCGTTTATCAAATCTGAGAGATGCGAGTCGTCGGCTTCGGCCCCCATGCCACGAGTGCTGGGGTGTTCGGGATAAACCTGAGCGCTCTTGTTCCCATTCTTGGGTCCATCTAGGGAGGTGTTCAGCACAACGAACCAAGTCGTCGGACTTATAATGCTTTATCACTCTCACTTAGCCATAGAATTCTATAATTTTAAATTTCGGCGAAGCCCCTAGTATTCGGAAGACCGAGTTCGGGGCGCTATCCACGCCTAGTCCGGATAAGTATGGTTCTTCGCTTAAAGCGGCATAAGTCTTTAAGGACTCGAAAAAACCTCGCGAACAGCGACCGGTCTCTCGCACTATCATGACAGTCAGTTTTAGCTTTCTCTACTGAGGTGTTAACCCAGCTCAACTGGGGCACAATCGCAGTAGTTCTCCCAGCGCTACCTTAGCCAACAATGCGGAACGTAAGGTACCAAAACATGAGAGCCAGGCAAACCTAACTATTGACCAAAGACATGATTCGGAGCCGATGCATATAGTGCTATAAGTTTGGGGTGCCGCACTTGTTAGAGTGTTCGGTCTTCTCACACCACGTTATGGTGTGTTGTAAGCCCCTGGTGTATTATCCGTGCCAAAGTGTACGGTTGCATATTGTCATGACTGAACATGTTTGCATATAAAAATAGATAAGTACAATAATAGATAAGAGTTATGTATTGTTTATTAAAAAAGGGCTGCTGTGAAAGAAGAACGATGCAAAAGGTGCCGTAAGCAAGAGATGGGAGTATTTGACATATTCCCCTTTAGGGACAAGCTGTGGTATTGTAAGAGAAACAGGTATTTAAACTCGTTATAGAGACCACCTTGACTTTTGATGTAGCTTGCTTCCTCCCTGGCTATTGCATTGTTGGTTCGGCGATAGTATTGCCGGACAGGCCTTCCGAATAGTTGGGTCCTGAAAGTGTGTGAAAAAGGAAAACAGCGAAATAGGGAGCCCCCTAGTGCGGTTAAGCCACATTCTGGGCGTGCCGTTGTTGTGCCCCTCCCCTTATGCCCATGGTATCTCTAAGGCGTAATTATGTACGCGTGGTACCAGCATTGCCGTTTGGCGGGGGCTGGGGTCGGGGCCGCACTGCTATGCTTGCTCGGAACGTGCCAGCCGGATTTGTTGTAGGTTACTTCGGGCTCGCTTGACGTTGTTCGGATGTTTGGCGCCTGGATTGGAGAACTGCCTTGAGAGGCTACTCTGTACTTCCGCCGCCAGGGCCGCCGTGTGCTCCTCCGTTCGGAGAGAGCGTTCTGTGTTTCCATTTACCGTGATGACTCCGCGAGGTCCTGGCATCTTGAGCTTGAGATATGCGTAGTGCGGC